TATGAATCCTGAAGGACAATTGCAGTAAACATTTCTTTTTTCCATCACATAGTTCAAATATCTGTATCTACAACAGAATGTGTGTGTGTAGTCCTAGGTTTCTGAATAAATGCTGAATAATCTGATTAATAGCTTGCAAAGACATTAAATGCTTATAGACCATTAAAATATATTTATATAATGACTTTGTGTGTATGTGTGTGTGTGTGTGTGTGATCAAATGTCTACATATGAGTGTAAAAGCACCTGTGAAAACACTTTATTAATAAGTAGAATGGCCAGCAGAGGGCAGTAGAAGACCACTTATTGTCTCACTCTCATTTTGACACACTTGATTTTCCACAGTAAATCAAAGCACTAAAGCAAACCAGTTTTTCCATGTTAACTATTATAACACAATCATTTTTTTGTCAGAGTTTATCACTTCATTTTTATTGGCCCTTCACATCAATGCAGCAATGTGGTAAATCATGGTAAATCACGATAGAAACATGGTAAATCATAGTAAAAAATACTATTACATGGTGGATCATGGCAAATCATGCTAGCAATGTGATGAATCATGGTAAATCATGCTACAATCCTGGTAAATCATTCTAGAATGTGGTATATCATGGTAAATCATCCTATAACATGGGAAATCATGGTAAACTGTGGTAAATCATGCTAGATTCATGGTAAATCATACTGGAACATGGTAGATCATGAAAAATCACACTAAATTTGGTATATCATGGTAAATCATGCTAAAACATGGTCTATTCCATCTATGATGTCAATGTTTAAATGCTTGCTACATAAAACTTAATGTCTTTTGATGTTTTTGTGCTTAACGGCCTTAAAGGCCTTAACTGCTTGAACACCGCTAAATGCTGCTAGCAGCTTTAATTATTATTATTATTATTATTATTATTATTCTTCTGCCGTAAAACGCATCGTGCAGAACAAACCGTAAGTGCTGGAGCTCTGAAACTTTGTCAGATGGTAGTACAAAAATCGAGGAGAGCCTCAGAAAGTATGACCCCGATTGGCCTATAGGTGGCGCTACAGCAATCAATTGCGCGAAACTGCTCATAACTCCTAAACCGTATGTCGTAGACTCAAGTGTCTTATATCATTGGAAAGCTGGAGGCCTGAAGAACAAAACGTATATCTCCGATTTCATTTCCGGTATGCAAATTTTTCCGCCATTTTGAATTTTGTCAAAAACCTACTTTTGCGAACTAGTCCCTGGTTTTTCGCCCGATCAAAACCAGACAAATGCATACATGTTCTCTGGAGTCTGAATATCAATAATCATTGAAAAAAAGTTGAATTTTCGATTCACGGTTGCTAGGGGGAGTAAAATGATCGTTGTGGGAGGAGCCTATTTTACTAAAATGGCTATAACTCGAGAAGTAAATGAGATATCTTCACCAAACTTGGAACACATGTGTATGAGTTCAATCTGAGGTCACAGTAAAAAAATCGCGTCGACCTAACACTAGGTGGCGCTATAGCACACAAAAAACCTAAATGGGGCTATGACCACCTGACCGTTAGTCAGATTGACTTAAAAATTGGTATGCAGTGTCTTGGTCCAAGGTGCCATGTATGTGTATGAGGAAATTGGCGTAACTCAAAAAACATGGCCGCCATCGGCCAATGAATTTGAGCACCTATTAGACGAGGTTAACGGAGGCCAATCGGAACGAAACTCGATGGGCATGTTTGCCTCATGGCCCAAGAGGTCTGTAAGAGTTTTGAAAGAAATTGGCCACTAGTTGGCGCTAACAAGTTTTACGGCTCTGTAATCAGGTGGTGTTGCACACATCCCCAAAATATGCATATCATTTGATAGATCTCCTCAGGCTGAACAACTTTGCCTCTAGAACCATTGCTGTCAATCAAATCGTTCATTAAATATTCACGAATATGTTAAAAACCTACTTTTGCGAACTAGTCCCTGGTTTTTCGCCCGATCAAAACCAGACCAGTCTAGGACAATTCTCTGGACTCTCTAGATCAATAATTATCAAAAAAAGTTGAACTTTGCCCTTTGGTTCACTGTAACAGGGTCATTTAGAAAAGGGGCGTGTCAAAATACACTCAAAAGCCTATAAATCATAAAAGAAAACTCAGAACTTGACAAAAATTGATGAGCATATGTGTCATACCATGGTGAGGAAGCATGCGAAGTTTCATGGAGATCGGACCATAGGTGGCGCTATAACTGTTAAAAAGCTTTAAAACCATATATTTCCTATGGTAAATTGCCTGTATTGGCTGTAAATGGTCTTTTCCATCTATGATCGTAAAATTTTCATATCTTAATGTTTAAAACCAGTGCAGTACAATTATCTGGACTCTCTAGATCAATAATTATCAGAAAAGGTGTAATTTCTTCATTTGAATGGCTGTAATAGTGTAAATTGGATGGCTATAACATTTTGGATGGCTATAACAGCCAATAAGTGGTATTTTACTGCCCCCTGCTGTCATTTCATCATACTACTCCCTAAAATTGTTATATATAATTGAAATTTAGACTTTATTAAATCATTATTTTAACATTTACAATCACATTTTGTCCAAATTCATCTATTGCTCTGTACTCTCTAGAACAATAATTATCAGAAAATGTATAACTTGTAATGTATAACATTTGGATGACTATAATAGGGTCACTTCAATATGTAGCCTTGACCGAAAGCCAATATCTTTTCAATGAATGCTCATAGCTTCTTAAAAAAAGGTCAAGCATGGCTAACAGCCAATAAGTGATATTTTACTGCCCCCTGCTGTCATTTTCATCATACTACTCCCTAATATTGTTATAGTTCATATTTAGACTTTCTAAAATCATTATTTTAACATTTACTATCACATTTTGTAAAAATGCATCTATTGGAGTATTATGGACTGCATTTATTTATTTTATTTATTACTCTTTACAATTGTGTCACAGGAAGGCTGAAAACGAAAGTTTTTATTTATACAACTGTTTATAGTCTGTAATACCACTGTTGTCCAATAGATGGAGCAGCAGTATTATACAAATGCTGAAGGAGTATTGTTCATTCTTAGTTAATGCTAACTAATGTAGTTAACATTAACTAAGAATGAACAATACTCCTTCAGCATTTGTTAATCTTTGTTAATGTTAATTTCAACATTTACAAATACTTTATTTAAATCTTGTTAACATTAGTTAATGCACTGTGAACTAACATGAACTAACAATGAACAGCTGGATTTGTATTAACTAACGTTAACAAAGATGAACAAAAACAGTAACAAATGTATTGCTCATGGTTAGTTAATGTTAATTAATACATTAATGTTTAATAAATTAACCTTATTGTAAAGTGTTACCGACATTTTTAATCTTTTTTTTAATCAGCTTTCAGCATTGGCTAACAAACAAATGCTTAAAGCTATTTTTTTATTAAAAAAATACCAAAGTGGTATTTTACTGCCCCTTGCAGTCATTTCATCATACTACTCCCTAATATTGTTTTATAATTCATATTTAGAATTTCTAAAATCATTATTTCAACATTTACAATCACATTTTGTCCAAATTCATCTATTGGAGTATTATGGACTGCATTTATTTATTTTATTTATTACTATTTACAATTGTGTCACAGGAAGGCTGAAAACGAAAGTATAACGTTGGGCCACGCCCCCCAAGGACAAATTCACTCATAACTCGAAAACAGAAAGTCGCTGCACGCTCAAATTTTGATGGTAAGGTTCTCTCGGGGTTCTTGATCCAAATCTATCGTCGCGGGGCTCGGGAACGCCCCCAATCTTTAGATAATTTTTTCATTATCTCGTTCCCGAGATATAAGTGAAAACCAAATTTCCATTCATTTATTTCAACTGTATATAGTCTGTAATACCACTGTTATCCAATAGATGGAGCAGCAGCATTATACAAATGCTGAAGGAGTATTGTTCATTCTTAGTTAATGTTAACTAATGTAGTTAACATTAACTAAGAATGAACAATACTCCTTCAGCATTTGTTAATCTTTGTTAATGTTAATTTCAACATTTACAAATACTTTATTAAAATCTTGTTAACATTAGTTAATGCACTGTGAACTAACCTGAACCAAAGAGTATAGAAGAACAAGAGGCGAAACTCCGATGCTTTTCTGGTAACAGCCACTAGGTGGCGCGGCCGCCATTTTGGGGTGAAAATTCCAACTGGAGTTACTGGGCAACAGCACAGATAACAGTTTTTTAGGTAGTTTTTCTTGCATTTTTATGCAACTTTACACATTTACTACTATTATTAGTTACCAACTCCACTAGGCCTGAAATATATTTTGTACGTTTTAATCCCCTGGATCGTGCTACAAACATGATGATCTTAACATGATGCATTGGTGTGTCCGTTATCTGTGTTTTTTTGTTTACATAGGCTTGCTTTAACGGTCATTAATATAAAATAGTACTGCAAAAAAACAGTTTACTGTAAAGCTATTCTATTGCTGTTATATATTTATTGTCCAACATTTACATTTTAGTACAATTACATTTATTTGCTGAATTCATTTATTTCATTGAACTTATTTTTGTATGTAAGGTTATGTGTACCTCCTGGGAAACGGTCTAACGTTATAACTTTATGAACTTACATCACTTTATTCTTCTTACCTGTCAAACTTAATGTAGAGATTAATATAATTAATTAAATCCTTGAACTTCCCTGTCTCAAGTTATGTGGGGGAAAAGCCTAGTAGCAACTTCTTTTTAATGGATATAACGTTAACTGTTGTGAATTAAAATAATCACCTAATTATTTCAACCTAAAAATGACCTCTGCACTGGACTAAATATATGTATAATATATGACTGCCGAGTCGCTTTCACCCCAAAATGGCGGACGCGTAGGGCTGCTGCTGGGCGCTGGTGTTGCAATGGAACGTTCTATTGGCTTTCACTTCTTGTCAATATACGTTCTTTGCCTGAACTAACAATGAACAGCTGGATTTGTATTAACTAACGTTAACACTAGAAGTGCCAGAATTCCATAACTACTAGAACTGCCACAAGCGGTCATTTTGACCGTTAGATTGCAAACTCTATATCTTTAATGATAAATACCCAATTGAGAGATTAATGCATTTGTTGTATTAGGATATCTTTTAAAAACAAAACAACACCAAACTGTACATTTTAAAAAGTTTAATTATACATTTATAAATAATAATATCAGTAGCCCGTAATTATCGCATAGGGCCTATTCACAACAGAGCTATATTTCCATATCCCTTCAACATAACTCAGAACAAGATAATAACAACTAAAAGTATCTTATTTAGATATTCTTTTGACAGTGAGAGAGACAATGTCATGGTTTATGAATTCGCTGTCTCCTTTCTCGTCTTGTTGTGTGTGTGTGTGCGTGGTCGCTGATCAATGCAGCTGATCAGCACGTGCGCTCTGATCAACGCGCCAGCTGCAACTGATCAGCGATTCGACCCTTTTCAGTGTTACTGTTCTCGCCTAGTCTTTGGGTGTTTCTCAAAACCAAGAATGCAAAGAACGGACTTGTGTTCTTGGGGAGAACGCTCTTGCTAGTTGTTCTTGGAAGAATGAACTCACAAGCTAACGAGCACACAGAACGCTGCTGACAGTTTGAGACGATGTGTTCTTGCTGGTATTGCGCAATAATACCCCCGCACAGACACCGTCTGCAGTACCCAAACATAACGAGAATTATTGACGATAACAGCCAGGCTGCAATGGTCTCTTGGCTGTGGGGAAAAACGAGTCTGTGAGCAAACTGGCCGGTTGGCTCGATAGCTGACGTTACACCCGCAGGCGCTTATGGAGATTCTCACTTCCGAAAACGTTTGAGCACATTTTCGATTAGCCATACATTTTCGTAAAAATGCCAATATTTGAAATCTACACAGTTGATTTCTCGCATCAAATGTTCTCAGAAGTGAATTTAGTGATGAAATAGTGTACGTAATTGTAGAAAAACGAAATACTGTATTGACCTGCCTCTCCTTCCTCGAATGCCGAATTGAATGCTGGGATATTTCTGCCGTCAAGTCAACACAAGTTACCAACCGATGCATCCTTGGTAAAATGGGCGTGTCAAGAACACATCCGGGATTTTTAACTGTTCTTGCCAAAATGCAAACTTGTGTATTGGGACAGTACTTGGGCCACAAAAGATGACGTTTCACAAGAACACAAGGACACAAGTACAGACAAGAACACAGATTGAGAAAGGCCCTTTGTCAGATCGTTGTGGATTTTTCCTGCGTGTTTGTTCCCTGCCTGTATACGTTTTCCGTGTGTCATCCCGTGTTCAACACTCCTGGTTCAGCACTCACTCCCTGTGCTGCCAAGGGCTTCATACCGGACATTTGCACACCTTAACTCTCCCAGCATCTGACCAGCTCTCAATAAACATATCTGTCATTTTGCAATTGAATCTTCTGATTATTTCCTAATAGACAAAGGTCAACCGCGAGAAATGTAACAAAAGAATACCGCGAAATTCAGTGCGGTCAATATGACCGTCTATGGCCGAAATAGGTAAATATGTTCATTTGTTTGTTTGCCTTATGTGTAATTTATATTAAAAACATTTTAAATGAAAATACAGACACTTTTAGGAAAAGTCAGGTACCAGCAGGAGATTTTTTTTTTTTTCAACAAAGTTATTGCAGATATAAAATTCAAAACGGTCAAAATGACCGTCGTGGCCATTCTAGTGTTAACAAAGATGAACAAAAACAGGAACAAATGTATTGCTCATGGTTAGTTCATGTTAATTAATACATTAACTAATGTTTAATAAATGAACCTTATTGTAAAGTGTTACCGACATTTTTAATCTTTTTTATCAGCTTTCAGCATTGGCTAACAAACAAACGCTTAAAGCAATTTTTTTATTAGTTTTAATATAGTTTTATATTATTACATCACAAAGAAATATGTGAAATGCATGCTTATACACCATTAAAAGAGATTTTCACAATAACATATCCCATGTGTGTGTGTGTGTGTGTGTGTGTGTGTGTGTAAGCATATGTCTACATATGAATGCAAAAGCACTTGTGAAAACACTTTATTAATAAGTACAGTGGCCAGCAGAGGGCAGTAGAAGACCACTTATTGGCTCACTTTCATTTTGACACACTTGATTTTCACCAGTAAATCACAGCACTAAAGCAAACCAGTTTTTCCATGTTAACTATTATAACACAATCATTTTTTGTCAGAGTTTATCACTTCATTTTTATTGGCCCTTCACATCAATGCAGCAATGTGGTAAATCATGGTAAATCACGATAGAAACATGGTAAATCATAGTAAAAAATACTATTACATGGTGGATCATGGCAAATCATGCTAGCAATGTGATGAATCATGGTAAATCATGCTACAATCCTGGTAAATCATTCTAGAATGTGGTATATCATGGTAAATCATCCTATAACATGGTAAATGATGGTAAACTGTGGTAAATCATGCTAGATTCATGATAAATCATACTGGAACATGGTAGATCATGAAAAATCACACTAAATTTGGTATATCATGGTAAATCATGCTAAAACATGGTCTATTCCATCTATGATGTCAATGGTTAAATGCTTGCTACATAAAACTTAATGTCTTTTGATGCTTTTGTGCTTAACGGCCTTAAAGGCCTTAACTGCTTGAACACCGCTAAATGCTGCTAGCAGCTTTAATTAGGTGTTCAAGCACGAAGTGCTGAAAACCTATTGTAATTGTAAGGATTTTTATTATTATTTTTCTTCTGCCGTAAAACGCATCGTGCAGCCCAAACCGTAAGTGCTGGAGCTCTGAAACTTTGGCAGATGGTAGTACAAAAATCGAGGAGAGGTTATCAAAGTATGAGCCCGATTGGCCCATAGGTGGCGCTACAGCAATCAATTGCGCGTAACTGCTCATAACTCCTAAACCGTAAGGCGTAGACTCAAGTGTCTTATATCATTGGAAAGCTGGACTCTTGACTTAAAAAACGTATATCTCCGATTTCATTTCCGGTATGCAAATTTTTCCGCCATTTTGAATTTTGTCAAAAACCTACTTTTGCGAACTAGTCCCTGGTTTTTCGCCCGATCGGAACCAAACCAGTGCAGAAATGTTCTCTGGAGTCTGAATATCAATAATTATCAAAAAAAAGTTGAAATTTTGATTTGCGGTTGCTAGGGGGCGCAAAATGAACGTTGTGGGAGGAGCCTATTTTACTAAAATGGCTATAACTCCAGAAGTAAATTAGGTAGGTTCACCAAACTTGGTACACGTGTGCATGACTTCAATCTGAGGTCACACTAAAACAATCGCGACGATCGAACACTAGGTGGCGCTATAACATGAAAAAAACATATAAAGGACTGACCGTTAGTCCGATTGACTTGAAAATTGGTATGCAGTGTCTTGGTCCAAGGCCCCATGTATGTCTATGAGGACATTGGCGTATCTCAAAAAACATGGCCGCCATCGACCAATGAAGTTTGAGCCCCTATGAGACGAGGTTAACGGAGGCCAATCGGAACGAAACTCGATGGGCATGTTCGACTCATGGCCTAAGAGGTCTGTAAGAGTTTTGAAAGAAATCGGCCACTAGTTGGCGCTAACGAGTTTTACGGCTCTGTAATCACGTGGTGTTGCACACATCCCCCCAAAATGTATATCATTTGATAGATCTCCTCATGGTGAACAACTTTGCCTCTAGAACCATTGCTGTCAATCAAATCGTTCATTAAATATTCACGAATATGTTAAAAACCTACTTTTGCGAACTAGTCCCTGGTTTTTCGCCCGATCAAAACCAGACCAGTCTAGGACAATTCTCTGGACTCTCTAGATCAATAATTATCAAAAAAAAGTTGAACTTTGCCCTTTGGTTCACTGTAACAGGGTCATTTAGAAAACGGGCGTGTCAAAATACACTCAAAAGCCTATAAATCATAAATGAAAACTCAGAACTTGACAAAAATTGATGAGCATATGTGTCATACCATGTTGAGGAAGCATGCAAAGTTTCATGGAGATCGGACCATAGGTGGCGCTATAACTGTTAAAAAGCTTTAAAACCATATATTTCCTATGGTAAATTGCCTGTATTGGCTGTAAATTGTCTTTTCCATCTATGATCGTATACTTTTCATATCATAATGTTTAAAACCAGTGCAGTACAATTCTCTGGACTCTCTAGATCAATAATGATCAGAAAAGGTATAACTTCTTAATTTGGATGGCTATAATAGGGTCACTTCAATATGTAGCCTTGACCAAATGTCCCCAAAAACCTATATCTCTTCAATGAATGCTCAGATCTTCTTAAAAAAAGGTCAGGACATATCACTCTAAACAAGCTTGACCAATTTTAGACAGATCGGACAAAATTTGCCTCTATAACAGTTAAAAAGGTGAAAATGAAATGAATATAGTGGCATATTAAGCCAATAAGTGGTGTTTTACTGCCCCCTGCTGTTTAAAATAGTAATTTTGTCATAATGCTGACTATCATTGTTCTATAATTCATTTTTAGAATTAACATAATCACTATTTTAACATTTACAATCACATTTAGTCCAAATTCATTGTCACATTGACAAATGTGAACCCTGAATGAGACAGTTTAATCTACAATAGAATGTGTGTGTGTGTGTGTGTAGTCCCATGTTTCTGAATAAATTCTGAATAATCTGATTAATAGCTTGCAAAGACATTAAATGCTTATAGACCATTAAAATATATTTTCATAATGACTTTGTGTGTGTGTGTGTGTGTGTGTGTGTGTGTGTGTGTGTGTGTGTGTGTGTGTGTGTGTGTGTGTGTGTGTGTGTGTGAGCAAATGTCTACATATGAGTGCAAAAGCACCTGTGAAAACACTTTATTAATAAGTAGAATGGCCAGCAGAGGGCAGTAGAAGACCACTTATTGGCTCACTCTCATTTTGACACTTGATTTTCAACAGTAAATCAAAGCACTAAAGCAAACCAGTTTTTCCATGTTAACTATTATAACACAATCCTTTTTTGTCAGAGTTTATCACTTCATTTTTATTGGCACTTC